AGTGTTTGTACCTGGAGGTGCTGGTGCAGATTTGGGAGGCGCTGGTGCCGATTCTCGCGGAGGTGCGAAGCTTCGCGGAGGTGCTGGTGCCGGTCAGCGTGCAGATGCGGGGTGCCCGAGCAGCGCTGGTCACACCCCTCGGCCTGGACCTGCAAGCGCAGCCTCAGGAGACGGAGAGAGGGATCCAGTCTGCATCCAGGAAGTTGCGCACGAGGAGGAAAAAATCATGTTGCTGTCTGAGTTTGCCGCCTCCACACTTCCTGACAACCTGGGCGCGCTCTCAGCCAACAGTCTCGAGGAGGCGCTGGAACGATACAAACTGCTGGAGTCCGAAGCCATCGCCGCTCTGGCCGATGCCAGGGCTGCTTCCCTAGCGTCGCCTGCAGATGCTGCACAGCAGATCCGGCTCAAGGCCGCCCAGAGTGCCTTGGTCCGATCACGGTTGACTTCGCGACGATGGGCTGCGATGGCCGAGCAGTGTGCACCTCGAACGTGATTTGAGATGATTGGAAGCTCATCGAATCGGATGTGAGTTGAGCCGGGAGTGCAGCTTCGTAGTTGCCTCTGTCTGCCGAGCTGCAGGATGCCGCTCGAATTGCTGGGGGTCCTGGGGGCCGGGTTTCCGCGGCTGGGCCTTTGGGGGCCCTATGTCCTGGGGTCGTCGGGTTCCTGCCTACGCTCCCCCCCTGCGGCCTCCCTCTTTTCCTGCTCTGTCTTGCTTCCTCCTTTTTTCTCTCCCCTCTTGGGGGGGTGCGTCGGCGGGCTCCTGTTCTGGTTCTGGGGTCTCTGGGGTGTCTCTTGGGTTCCTCGTCGCCTCTGTCTCCTTCCTGCTCTATCTCGCCCTTCCCTGCATCATAGGCTTCGACTCTCTTGCTTACGAACGAACGAACGAACGAACGAGGAGGAGGAGGAGGAGGAGGAGGAGGAGGATGAGGATGAGGAGGAGGAGGCAGCGGCGGCGGCGGCGGCGGCGGCGGCGGCGGAGGAGGAGGAGGAGGAGGAGGAGGAGGAGGAAGGAGGAGGAGGAGGAGGAGGAGGAGGAGGAGGAGGAGGAGGAGGAGGAGGAGGAGGAGGAGGAGGAGGAGGAGGAGGAGGAGGAGGAGGAGGAGGAGGAGGAGGAGGAGGAGGAGGAGGAGGAGGAGGAGGAGGAGGAGGAGGAGGAGGAGGAGGAGGAGGAGGAGGAGGAGGAGGAGGAGGAGGAGGAGGTGGAGGAGGAGGAGGAGGAAGGAGGAGGAGGAGGAGGAGGAGGAGGAGGAGGAGGAGGAGGAGGGAGGAGGAGGAGGAGAGAGGAGAGGAGGAGGAGGAGGAGGAGGAGGAGGAGGAGGAGGAGGAGGAGGAGGAGGAGGAGGAGGAAAACGGGGCGGAGCACGGAATCGCCTGTTCGCCCTCCTGCTTGAAGCTACTCCGAGTCGTCTCGCGTCGTTGCGCCGTCCGCCCCTCTGTGGCGGTCGGCGGCGCGCGCCGAATGGGCAGGGTCAGGGGGGGCGGTCTTCTGGGAAGGCTCCCCGCGCCTCTCGCATGCGGGAAGTCAGCCACGCGCAGAGGGGGGCGGGGGGAGGGGGGAGGGCTTCTTAGAAACACCCCTGCTTCTTAGAAGGCGCGGGCCTTGTCTATTGATTTTAGACTGGCGCGTTCTAAGAAACAGCCTCCTTCCAAGAAGCCCACTCCCCTCCCTCCACCCCCTTGTGCGCGCCGCCAAGGAAGAAGTGGGGGGCGCCTGGTTGCCTTTGGGGGGCCGATCCCTTCTGGGGGGCCGATCCTTCAGGGGAGGCCGCCCGCCCCCCGTCACTTTGGCCCTCCTCCTCTGCTCGCCGCCGCGCCGGGAACGAGGATCACCTCTGTCCGGTGCACACCTGCCGTTTGACAGTGGAGGTCTCTCCGTCGCTGGCGTTTCCCACCAGGAAAGGCCTCAGGCTCAGGCCGAGAGGTTGGTCCCTGGGCTTAAACAGGGGGCGAGCTTTTCAAGAATCTCGCTCTCGCTCGCGATGTCCTGGCAGATTGCGCAAGAGTCGTGCTCTCGCGGGAGGCTGCCCCAGGATTAATTCGAGAATCGCGCTCTCGCCGCTCTGGAATCGCGTTCTTGCCTGGGACTTCGTCAAAGTGGAAACGTCTACGGTTAATGAGCGAAGGAAGACGGGGGAAAGCCGGACACCTGTGTGCACGGCAGTTGCTCGTTTGGGCTCAACCGAGTTTGGGCCCCTCACGGGGCATGCTAGAAGGGCCCAGCCGCCACCTGTCTGATCCCGCGCAGCAGAGTGCGCAGGGGGTGCGGTTTCTATCCGTGCCGCGCTCCAGGGCGCGGCAGGGGTGGCGCTTTCTCGCCAGAGAGGGGGGGCGCACACGGGGTTCTCGCCACCGGAGGGGGTGTGCAGGGTCGGTGGTTTCCAAGCGTTTCCCGTCCAGGACGTGGCAGAGGTGGCACTTCGACACTTGAAACGCTGCGCACGGGGTGCGGTCTCTGTGTGCCGCACCTTCAGGGCGTCGTTGGTGTGGCACTTCCTCGCGCGTTCTGGAGGCGTGTTCGTACCAAACCACTGCAAACGGGGCGTTAGTAAACGGGGCGGTAGCGAAGGGACCTCTTCAAGCGAGAGCGGGCTGACCAGGCATTTACTTTGTACCAGTGCATGATAAATCGTGACAACGAAAACGTTGATTCATCATCATAACTCTGGGCGGGGAGGTTCACCTCGCACTTGTGCGAGGCAAGTCGTTTTTTAGAAAACACCATTGAAAATGCATCTTTGGCTGCTGGCTCGTTTAATATCGCCCCGTTTGCAGGGGCTTGGTCGTAAGACACCAATACACAACAAAGCAAACCAAGCATGCGGGGTCCTTCGGTCGCGTAGTTGACGACCCTAAGTGTGTGTGTGTGTGTGTGTGTGTGTGTGTGTGTGTGTGTGCCGCTGTTTTTTTGTTTTGTGTGCGCAAGAATGTGTGTGTGTGTGTGCATTGGATTTACCTGGGAGCTCTTTTGAGCCGACGTGGCCGCCTTGTGGTCCGTCTTGGGGCTCTTGTGGGCTGTCCGAGGGCCTCTTAGGGCGCTCTTGGCAGTCTTTCTGCGCCTGGTCGGGGTCTTTTCGGTACCTCCAGGGGCCGCTCGGAAGCCTTCCAGAGGCGATGCCGAGACGAGGGCACCACGCTGGAGTAAAAAGACTATGGGATATCGAGCAGAAGCGCTGTTATCGTTTGGGGTGGGAGCACGCCGCCGAGGCGAAAACGCCACTCCTGAGAAAGCGGGGAAGTATCAAACAGAAACATTGTGCGCGGGCGCTGGTTTAGACGCGAGGCGAAAGCGCCATTCGTGAGCAATAAGCGAGGAAGGATCGAGCGGAAGCGCTGTCGAGCATTCACTTCCGCATAATATTCGTTCTTGATCTATCTGTACATGTGGGAACTTCTCCAGGTGCTCTCGCCTCGACGCCATCTACAGGGTCTTTGAAAACGAGGCTCTCGCTCGAGCGTGGGCTTCATTCTAAATCCTGGCCCTTGAGGGCCCAACTGCGACGGCAACGGTTCACAGACGGGCGTTGAGGAAAGGAGAAGCGGGAGGAGAAAGCGACGCTCTGGAACTCCCAAGCCCTTTCTTTGTGATTCGCTGCTGCTGCTCCTCCTCCCTGTGGTTAAGGAGCTGCAGGGTTGAATCGTGTGCGTATCGTCGGCTTATCCATGTCTGCCGCTTCGAGCTCCTCCGCGCTTTGTATATTATTAATTTGGCGCATCTGTTGCTTCCCGCAACAATTTTCGTGTCAAGGTGCTCGAGACGTTGATGGGCCTGGCTGGGGGCGGGTGGGGGGGGCCTTTGGGGGGGGCGTTCACAGAGGTTGATAGAGGGGGGCCGCCCCCACCACAGCACCGCATGGCATTCCCACGCGTAGACGCGCCGCAGGGACGGTGGCGGAGTTTAAACTTTGGCCAAGCTATCGTGTGAGCACGCATAAAAGGCGGTCCCCGTTTCGGCCTTCCTCGCTCGTTTCAGGATCCCGCTCCGCCTGCGTCCGGCCGGAGACGGCACGCCAGTGCACTGTTGCACCATTTTGCTTGAGTGCCTCGTCCTCCCCCTCCTTGCTTACTCGCTCGCTCGCTCTAAAGAGATAGAGGGAGAAAGAGGAGGGGTGAGGATTTTACCCATCTGTACCTTGTCGGCGGCCTGCCTACAGGCCTCGTTTCATGGCCCGCGTGTTCCTCACGTTTCCTCCTCCTCCTCCTCCTCCTCCTCCTCCTCCTCATCCCCTCAATCCCCTGCTGCTGCGTTTGCTGATGCTGCCCCTTCTCATCTCGTCTTTCTTCTTTTCTTCTACGCTGCCGTGTGCAAAAGCAGTCGGAAGCCGATCAAGTGTACTTCCGAGGGTCTCCGAGCGGTCAATTGTGCACCGCTGCAGGGCCCTTCTCATTCTCGTCTTCGTCCTCGTCCTTGTCATCCTCGTCACAGTCGCCGTCCTCCTCGTCATCGTCGTCGTCGTCGCAGTCTCCTCTCGCCTCTCCCCAGCCAGTGTGCGTACACACACCCCTTGTTTGACTGCACATAACGGTTTCCTTTTGGAGGTTCCATGCCCGCTATTGCACCTGTCGGCGGATATAAAGATAAAAAGGCAATTGGAAGGGACGGGTGGGAGGGGTAGGATGTCATATACGCCAGCGCGCCCAGCTTGCCCTGGAGTCAGTTGCCAATCTCCACATTTCCTCACATTACGGCGTCAGTTGCCAATGGAGGGGGCCGGGACCTTCCCTGCGGTCCAGTCCCTCGACCAACCAAGACGGCCGTGGGGAGCGGTGCCAACGTACCTCCACAACTCTGACCTTCATACCTGAAGACGACACTGGCCACCATCCAGTGTTTCCTCCCTCCCTCCCTCGTCCTCCTCCTCCTCCTCCTCCGCCTCCTCCTCCTCCTCCTCTCCTCCTCGCCCGAGCCCTTTGGGCTCGGGAGCGGCGGGGGGGTGGTACGGCTGGGTGCCCGCCGCCCCCCCCACCAAAGGCCGCTCCCGCGGGGACCCCCGGCAATGGACGGGCTGCCCGCGAGAATGCCCCCGGAGCGCGAGGCCGGCACTCCGTCGGCTGCCGCTCCCGGGCCCCCGGCTGCGGGCGAGGAGTGCGTCGGCGGCGGTGGGAGGGGCCGTGGCAGGGCTTAGTTCGCTTCCTCCGATTCGATCCGGTTGCGACGGCTTTCGAGTCCGACTCGATCCGGCTTCGGGTCCCCGTTAGGGTTCCGATTTTTCGATGGAGGCCTTATTAGCCTTCTGATTTCCGCCGATTCGGCTTCTCCCGATTGGGCTGTCGATTTCCGCCGATCCGATTCATTTCGATCGCGGGTACGACTTTTAAATTCGATGCTGGACTCTCATGTAGGGCGAGGGTGCCAGGGGAGGAAACGACACCTGGCTACTGGTGCCGCTACCCTTCCCACGTCGCAACGGCTGGATTCGCCTCGACATTCTGGTCAGAGCGCACCGTGGGAGAGGTCCGGGTAGTAGCGGTGTGGGCACTGCTTTGTGCCCCCAGGGGGGCAGATCGCCGCGGAGAACCTGACGGGATCCAGACGGAGGCTTCCCCTGGTGGAGGCCGTCTTCTGGCCATGGAGCCGCCAGGAAACGATACGGGGCGAACCGACAGGTCTTGGGGAAGTGGTCGTGAGGTCCGGGGACCCCGTGTATGTGGCCACAGGGCAAGCCGTCGGGGGTCGGGGCAGGGGTTATGAAGGACAGGCGTCCTGGCGGGTTTCCCTGCTCTTCGGGCTCCCGTGGCCTGCCGCGGAGGCGACCTGGGGGCCAGGGCCCGCTCCCACCTTCACCATTTGCCCCCTCTGCCTTCACGGCGGGCGGAGCGGGAGAGGGGAGGGGGGTCGCGGGAGGAGGAGGAGGAGGGTGGAGGGAGAAGGGCGGTGGGAGTGAATGGGGGAGGGGGGAAGTGGGGGAGGGGAGGAGGGGGGTGCGGAGTGGGAGAAGGGGAGTGGGGGGAGAGGCGAGCGGGAAGGGGGAGGGGGAGACGGAATAGGGAGATGGTACTGGGAAGGGTGGGAGAGGGGAGATGGCACGCTAGGTGCGTTCGCTCCGTATCGGACATCCTGATTACCCCTCCCATCAGTCCCTTCCAGTACGCTGACTATTCCTCTATCCGACGACGCATGTCATTGAGGAGCTGGAATTCCCAATTGGAGCCCATCTTGTTGTGCGCAATCGGAACGGGGGAGCTGCATGCACTTGGGTAGGTCGCGCGCGAGCAGGAGCGTGGGCAGGAGGAAAAGGATTAGTACTAATGAGGGCGGGTGAGGACGAGGACGAGCACCAGCAGGAACTGGAGTGGAAGGAGCGATAGGGGCAGGAGGACCAGAGGAAGGCGGACGAGGGGAAAGGAGAGGGGGGGCGTTTACGATGAGGATGGACTCGGATCCAGAAAGTGGCTCGCGCTGGGGCCAGAGTGCCCTTCTGAACGGCGGGGGCAAACTCCCGATCCTACCAAGAGGCCCACGCTGCAGCTGGAGTACCGGTATGAAGGACCGAGGACGTTCGGATTGGAATAGCACGAGAAAAACACGGCTCGGACCAACCCCCGTGCGTGAAAAACAATACGCGAAGGGGGGCGAGCCATTCTAAGGACGCCTCTTCTGGGGAGAGAAGGCGAGTACAGCGCTCATGTCGAGTATTCCACGAGAGGGACTGGGAAAAGGGGGGCGGGACAGCGGGAGAGGGGGGGGAGGCAAGCTAGGTGCGCTCGCGTCACATCTGACGTCCTACCTCTCCCTCCCTCCCATCCCTTGCCATGGCGTAGATGTCCTCTCTACTCGCACAGTCGGATGTCGAGCAGGACAGTGATCGCCAGAGGGTACGCGACGGCGGGGAGAGGTGGCTGCGGCGGCGCGGCCGCGACGGCTGCCACGGCTCCGTGGCCAGCCGCTGGCGGCGGCGGCGGCGCGGCCGGGCGGCCGCGGCCGCAGGGCCCCAGCGGCGCCGCGGGCTGCCCGCCCGAGGTGGCGGAGCCCGGCGGCGGCGACGCCCTGCGGTTGACGCCGGGCACGGGCTCGGTCGGCCCGCCCTCGGCGGACGCGGCGCCCGCCACGTGCCCAGGCGGCTTCCCGTCAGAGGCGCGGGGAGGGGCGCCCCTGGTCCGAGTAGGCGATCGACTACAGGGTCGATTTACCCCAGAATTAGTTGCTCCGCCGAATCCATATCGAAAACGTGCAACGTCCGTAGATTTACAAAAGATCGGCATTTTTTCCACATTCTACGACAACTCCAAGTTTGGGGTGCATCAATCCTGTAGTCGATCTCCTATTCGACTGGTGCCTATTTGTGTTGAGACGTCCACCACCCTCTCGCCTCCCGTGCCCCTTGTCTTTCTGAGCGCGCACTGAATCATGCGTGTGTTACTGCCTTTTCCAGGTCCCCGACAATGGCCAGCGTGCTACAGGTGCGTCTGTCTCCCTTGCAGGGGCGTTGGCCCTTCCCGGCGACGGCAGCTTCGTTCGTTCTTGGGGTCCCAGGACATCGGTTCCCCAGGCCTTGGATACTTATAAGTCCCCGCCCCGCAAAATAACGCTCGTATCCGCTGGGGGACGCCAATCCCGCACCTATGCCGATGCTGGCCAGGCCAATCCTGGTCCCGGAGTCGGCGCATGCTGCACATGCTGTCCTGGCCAGGCCAGGGGTGGTGCTGACACAGATCCCAGGCCTAGGAATTGTGCTTGCACCGATGCTGGGCCCAGGAGAGGCCTGGCCAGGACCAGGGCACCTGCATTGATGAAGTGCCGCTTGTGCGCACGAGTGGTACGTCTCAATCTGCGGCCTGCATCTGGACTTTCCTTCCCGTCGGGAGGTGTACGAGATGTGGTGCGAGTGGCTGGACATCCCAGAGGAGAGCTTTCCCCTGGCGCAGGTATGCCGGCTGCTGGCGCGGGGTGGCGAGGTGCGAGGGCGGCAAGTGCGACTCACGCACAGCCTCTTCTTCCGGTGTGCCATTCAAGCTTTCTTTCCCATGCGAGCTCTCCAGCATCCACAACATCGGTTTCCGAAGGTGATGTCGCAGTTTTCTCCAAGCAGTGTTTGCTCTCAAAATGTTCCGGCTTGGACACTCAAGAATCGAACTGCGTCGCCGCCGATTTCCTTGGCCAGCCGTATCTCGACTGGCCCTGGTATTGCCCTGCGTCGCCGCGAATTCCCGTGGCCAGTCATTTGCGCGGCTGTCCTCGGCTCTGGTGCTGCTCTGCCGCTGGTTTCCTTGGCCAGCCACGTCCCCGATTGTCTCCAGCTCCGGTGCTGCCCTGCATCGCCGACAGCTTCCTTGGCTCGGCGTGACCCCGGCTGTCCCCAGCCCTTGTGCTGCCTTGCGTCGCTGCGAAGATCCGTGCCTGGCTGTGTCTCCGACTGATCCCAGCAGTCGTGTTTCCCTGCGTCGCCGCCGATCGCCTCAGCTAGTCATGCCCCCGACTGCGTCCAGCTGTCTCTAGCCCCGGCGTTGCCCTGCAGTGCCTGCCACTTTCCTTCGCCCAGGGCGTTCCCGACTGTCCCTCTCCCTGGTGTTTGCTCGCGTTGTCGCCGATCTTTTTCGCCAGAGCCGTGAAGCTGACCTGCTCGTGTGAGCCAAAGCCCACCGAGCTTACTCAGGGCTTACCTGTGCAATGGGACCACCAAAGCTAACCTATTCATTATCACCAGTGTTCACGTATTCGTTTTCGCCAAAGCTAGTTAGTTATGTTTTGATCTATTTGCAGCTCTGTATCTAGTTTGCGCCAAGCTAAACTTAATTGCAGCTATACTAACGCGTTTTGCGGAGCATGAGTGGGTCGGGCCGCCTTACCCGCTTGGGCCCAAGGCGTAACGGGGGGAGCGGTCCGCGCGGGACGCGGATGTGGCAGCTGGCGCGGGGAGGGGCAGTCGACGCGACCGTCGCGTACCTCCATCGGTGCCCCGCTGCGCCCGAGTGTCCGAGCTGCTCCTTGACCTGTCCCACCTGCCCCTCGTTCACGTGCCCTCCGCCAGCCACTGTCAGCTCCCCAGCGTGCCCTGCGCTGACCTGCCCCGCGCTGGCGGCGGAGGCGCCGCGCGCCACGCCCGAGGGGCGTGCGGAGGTGCCGCAGCCGTGCCCCGCCTGCGCTGCTTGCGAGCGGCCGGCGGAGCCTGAGCCGTGCGACGCCTGGCGCGCCTTCTTGCGAGGGCTGCTGGGCGGTGCCGTGGGCGGCGGGCTGCTGACGGTGCTGCTCGTGAAGGTCGTGGGCCATGGAGTGGGGTTGGCTGAGGTACGTCGGGGACGACCTGGTGCACCAAAGGTGGGTTTCTGGCCGCGTGGCGCTACTATCGGCTTCTGAGTATGTCGGTACCACGCCGGACGGCGACACGTACATTGAGAAGTATGACGACAATGATAATGAAGATGTGGACCTGGTTCGGTGGAGTGCGAAATGGAACGACGTGCCCAACGGTGTGAATCCTGCGCGGGTGTACCGCTTTCGGGAGGAGCCGACGGCGGTGGAGAAGCAGGTGTTCTTCCGAGACGCTGAGCTGCTGGCCGATCATCGCTGTCGCATCGTGGCGGCCACGGTCGGGCGGCCCGACCTGCTCACGGTGCCGGGCTTCCGCGCGCTGGTGCCGGGCGGACCGGGCGGCGCCGCCCCCGCCGCGGCGGCGGCGGCGGCCGGGCCTGTGGCGGCTGCTGGGCCTCGCCCAGGTGTGCTGCAGGGCGTGGCGGCTCTGGCGGCGGCGGCGGACGCTGGCACGCGCTGGCGGGCGGCGCAGTCGCTGGGGAACGTGCGGTACGGCGACGAGCGACGGCGGCCGCAGTGCGCGGGCGTGACCTCCACACCCTCGGGGACGGCAGTGCCCTGTTCGTGGAGGAGGTGCCGGCGGAGGAGTTCGAGTCGTTCATGGGGCGCGCCGTGGCCGCGGACGCTCGCGTGATGCCCGTCATGCGTACGGGCGCCCGCCGCGAGGTGACGTGGTCCGTCATGGCCGCCCGTGTTCGCGAGGAGGACTTCGGGCGCGACTGGCTGGTGACGGGCCCTCGCACGACGTCCTGGTGCATCGAGGTCATCAACAATGAGGGATCGGTTTCGGGCGGTGGCCATGCTCGAGCCGACGCAGTGGGGAGTACAGGAACACTTCCAGTGCACGCAGTACATCCGCTTGCTGCTGCTCTCCGACCAGTGCGACGGCACAAACTTGCAGGCCTGCGAGGCCATCTTCCGACGCATGCAGACGATCGAGTACTCGTACTTGGAGAAGGTGAGGAAGCGAGAGGGGGCCAACCAGAGCGGGAAGTTGTCAATCGAGGAGCAGACTCACTTCGCTGGCTCCACTCGGATTTCGTCCAGCTTGATGGTGTGCCCCGACTTGTTGGATTTCGTACGTAAGGAAGTTGAACGTGAAGCTGCCCTGGCAAAGAACCTCCGTAAGGCTCGTGAAGAGAAGGAGGCTCTCAAGAAGGGCAAGAAAGACGGTCAAGGTTGAGGGGGCATGGAGCGCCCCCTTTGTGGCTCCCCGTTGCCAGGCGACCGGGGGGCGCCTTCGCATGCTGAGTTCGAACGCTCTTCCCTTGGTCGTGATGAGCCTGCTCGGTTGGTTGCCCGCAATCCTCTGCCTCTGCCCGTGCCGCCGGTCGCCTCTGTGTGCCTTTTGTCGCGGGGATGCCGTCAGCGGGTTCAGCAGCGTCATGCTCGTGACCTCGACGTTCGGAGGGCGGTGGTCGCCCTGAATTCATTGCATCACTCTCCTGGCGTTGTGCCGGGCGGAGAGGGTCAACTCAGTGGGGGCCCTCTGTCGCTGATGCAGCAGCGCATCATGGAGCACGCGCGCGACTCAGTCGGAGCGCTGGGGGCTCCACCGGCAGGCGTCGACACCTCGGAAGCTCTGCGGAGGCTTCGGGCGCCTGGCTTCTACGGTTCCGACGAATCCCGAGCTGCTCTCGCTGCCGTCCGTGGGGGGCCATGCGGTTCCACTCGCGGACTTGTGGGGTGCAGGCGGGCGCAGGCGCGTCGCGGAGTTCGTCCGCGATAGTGTGCTACCTGCGGGACCAGCGCTGGAGAGGAGAAAGATGTGCGGCGTGAGGGCGCCCTATTCTGACCCAGCGCTTCGCCAACCGCGTGTGTGGAGCGATTTTGTCTCTCAATTCATCGCGGCGGCCTGTTGGATTTCGCCTGCGACCGCGGCAGAGAGTCCGTGGAGTTCTTCTGTGTGCCAAAAAAGGATCAACGGTTGAGACTTGTGTGCGATTGTCGTCGCAGCAACGTCTGGTTTCGAGAGCCTGATAGCGTCGCGCTTTGTACTGGGCAGACCCTTGGGAACCTCGAGGTCGGTGAAGGCGAGACGCTATATATTTCAGAAGCTGATCTGTCTAATGCATTCTACCACTTGCAACTGCCTGTCGAGCTGCGGGATCTGTTCACCCTTGGGCGCGTTCGTTCTTGCGATATCGGTTTGACCGAGATCGACGGGGTGCCGGTGCGCTACGGGGCGTAGGTGTGCCCAAGACTCCGTGTTTGTCCTATGGGGTGGACCTGGGCATTGGTGGTGTCAACGCGTGCCCGAGAGATTGGTCGAGCGGTGCGGAGGGCGATCCGAGGAGCGGTTACAGGACTGCCGTGTGATTCCCCCTCTCACAGGTGCCTGCCATCTCGATTATGTCGACAACTCCGTGGCTATTTCGACTGTCGCCTCCAAGGTACATCGCCTCGCGTCCGCCGTCGTCGAGGGATTTAGGGGGGCTGGGTTGGTCGTGGCCGCCGATGTCTCGAGCATGCGACGAGCGAGCTCGCCCGCGTGCTTCGCTTCGGGGGACGTCCCAGGGGGCACGTCCGGGAGGGAGGCCCTCAGACCTGCTTGGCACGGGGACGGAAAGCGCACTTACTTTCAGAGCGCACGGGATCGCTGGCTCGTCCGCTCTTACACCTCTTATTGACTCCCTTCCCCTCGCTCTTGTCCTATCTCAGCCTCGGAGAGTCGCGGAGCTTTCTTTGAGCGCGTTTCTTTTTTTGGAGGGGGCGGTCGGGTCGCGTTGCGTTTTCCGCGTTTGGGCTGCCAGCTTTCCAGAACCCCGCGTTGTCCTTGCGTGGACCGCTCGTTGTCCACGCGTTGCCGCCCGTCCCTGTGCCCTGGCTGCAAGAACTTATTACGCCGCAGCTCTCTGTTGGGAGCTTTGGTCTTATCAGCTCGATTACGTCGCCGCTCGCTCTTCGGAGCCGCGGTGCTAAGAGCCTTTGGGAGTATTTTGGCCTCTTGGGGGGCTCTTGGGGAGCCTCTTGGGTGCCTCTTGGGGACCTTTTGGGGCTTTTCGGGGGCCTCTGGGGGCCCCAGGAAAGGCACTTGGGAGGTGCCTGCGGCAGCCCAGGAAAGGCACTTTGGAGAGGCCTGCGGGCGCCTGGGGAAGGCACTTGTGCAGTGCCTGCGGGCTGCCCAGGAAATGCGCTTGGGAGGTGCCTGGCCGTGGCCGTGGCCGTGGCCGTGGCCGTGGCCGTGGCCGTGGCCGTGGCCGTGGCCGTGGCCGTGGCCGTGGCCGTGGCCGTGGCCGTGGCCGTGGCCGTGGCCGTGGCCGTGGCCGTGGCCGTGGCCGTGGCCGTGGCCGTGGCCGTGGCCGTGGCCGTGGCCGTGGCCGTGGCCGTGGCCGTGGCCGTGGCCGTGGCCGTGGCCGTGGCCGTGGCCGTGGCCGTGGCCGTGGCCGTGGCCGTGGCCGTGGCCGTGGCCGTGGCCGTGGCCGTGGCCGTGGCCGTGGCCGTGGCCGTGGCCGTGGCCGTGGCCGTGGCCGTGGCCGTGGCCGTGGCCGTGGCCGTGGCCGTGGCCGTGGCCGTGGCCGTGGCCGTGGCCGTGGCCGTGGCCGTGGCCGTGGCCGTGGCCGTGGCCGTGGCCGTGGCCGTGGCCGTGGCCGTGGCCGTGGCCGTGGCCGTGGCCGTGGCCGTGGCCGTGGCCGTGGCCGTGGCCGTGGCCGTGGCCGTGGCCGTGGATCTCGCTCGATGGGGCATCAGCTGCCAGGCCGCCGTCCTGAGGCCCACTCGGGCCCGTGTCTGGAGAGCCCGCCTATGTGTCCGAGCCGTGCTTCGCCGTGGCCGCGTCTCTGGAAAGGTTCTGGAGAGACTCGTGGGGCATATGGGGTTCATCAGCCTGGTCCGAAGGGAGAGCCTCTCTGTCTTCGACACGCTCTTCGCGTTCATCCGCCGCTTCTACTCTGAGGAGGCCCCGCTGTGGCCCAGCGTCATCGACGAGCTCACGATCTGGGAGGGGATCGCGCCGCTGCTTTGGCGCAACCTGAAGGCCTCGTTGGGGCCGTCGCTGTATGCCGTTGACGCGTCCCCGACTGGTCTTGGTGTCTGCTCGTCGCCGATCTCTGTCGAGGAGGCCCGTGGGCTTGGGAGCCACTGCGAGCGCTGGCGTTTCTCTCGGGGTGCGAGTCTTCCTCCGCGACTTCAGGCTGCCGCCGCTGCCGCCGTGTCCAACGACCCCGAGGTGCAGTGGCTGTCCGGGGTGCGACAACGGGTCTGGGGGACTCTGGGATATCGACGGGGGCCCGCCGCCTGCTGGCAGTGTCGCCGCTGTTCTGGGATCTGGGCTCGGTGATTCTCGTGAGGCCGTGTTTCGTGAGGTGCTCCTGAATCCTGAGGCGCGACTGGAAGAGTGTTGGGCGGTGCAAGTGGAATGTTGAGGAGCCGATGCCGATTGTTGAGGGGCGGGCCATCTTGTACGCGCTGCGACACGCCCTGAGGAACGTTCAGATCTTCGGGCGCCGGATCGCGGTCTTGGGAGATGCCCTCGTCGCGGCCTGTGCTGTTTCGAAGGGGCGATCGGATTCCAGGGCAATACTTAAGGTCACCCAGTCTGTCGCTGCTCTCTGTCTCGCCACTGGGTGTGTGCTACACTGCCGGTGGCTCCCCTCAGAGTGGAACGTGGCCGACGGGCCCTCGAGGGGGCTTGCCGTTCCCTCGGTGCCGCAGCCGCTGTCTCTCTCGAAGTCCCGCGAGCTGGAGTGGCTTCGCTCGGCTGGGCAGGCCCCGCCTGCCCCGCGGCCTCGCGCCGCGACTGGTGGCGATGCTGCTGCGGGCGACGCCGTCGACCGGCTCCCTGTCGACTGGGTCGGCTACGAGGCCCTCGGGGAGGAGCAGTCAGACGCGGGCGCCCACCGCTTCGAGCCTGTCTTCGTCAGCAGGGTTTCCTATGCGGGCCGCCCCCAGCAGCGCGCCGGCGGCTGCCCCTCGTCGGGCACCGCGGGCGCCGGCGCGAGCGTCGACGCCGCGCGCGAGCGTCGACGCCGCGCGCCGGGCAGGCCCGCATGATGGAGGCGGCGAGGCGTCGGGCTGCGGCGACCGCGGCCGAGGGGATGACCGTCTGCCAGACTCACTCGGTTCGCCCCGCTACGTTGCGGTTGTACCAAGACGACTTTGCCTCGTTCAAGCGCTGGCTGAAGCGCCAGGGCCGTCCGATGCCGGAGGGCGAGGTCGACGCCGACCAGACGCTGTCGCAGTTCCTGGACGAGATGTACCTCGACGGCGCGCACGTGAGCTTCGGGCAGCGGATGCTCGCCGCTGTGCTGTTCCACCAGTCGGCCCTGAGCAAGGCGGGCGGCGCGCGGATGCCGCGGGGCCGCCGTGCGCTCAAGGGCTGGCAGCGGCTGGCGCCTGCCGGGTCGAGGCTCGGAGTGCCGTGCGAGGTGATGTGCGTGGTCGTGATGTGGATGTGGCTGCTCGGCCTGTGGGAGGAGGGGCTCGTGGCGTGGCTGACGTTCGAGATGTACTATCGCCCAAACGAGCCGTTCACCCTCCGCGCGCAGGACCTCGCGCCGCCCGTGGCGGGCTCGCGGGCCGGGGGGAGCTGGGCGCTGACGCTGCGCGCCCGCGAGCACGGGGTGGCCTCGAAGACCCAGGAGTTCGACCAGGCGCAGCTCCTGGACCTCGACTGCCAGGCGGCTCTCGGCCCGGCCCTTGCCGCCATGCTGGAGGCCCGGTTCGGAGCCCAGTGGCGGCAGGCCGTGCTGAAGCGGCCTGTGGGTGCTGCCGCGGCGCCTCCGCTGTTCACGATCAGCAGCACTCAGGCGGGGCAGGCTACCAGCTGCGCCGCGGCGGCGCAAGCCACGACGCGGCGACCAGCGCGAGGGCGCTGGATCAGATCCGCCACCGCGGCCGCTGGCGCGCCCACAGCAGCCTCCGCCGGTGCGAGAAGGGGGCGAGGCTCGGCGAGGTGCTCGAGCGCCTGACCGCCCCGCTCTGTGCCCACGCGCTGCGCGGCGCCGACTTGCTCGCCGACGTTGCGGCCAGGCGACGCCAGCCCTGCGCGAGCCCCTGAGAGGCTCCGTTTTCGTGGAGATCTTCTCTGGCTCAGGCAGGCTCGGGCGCGCGGCTGCGCATGAAGGCCTGCAGGTGCTCTGGTGGGACATCTCGTGCGGTGACGCCTATGACCTGACGCTGGGCAAGAACCAGAACTGGCTGATGGGCTGGCTCGCTGGCGGCCTCATCATCGGGTTTCACGTTGCGCTGCCGTGCCAGACCTATTCCCGCGTCCGCGATCGTGGAGGCGGGCCGCCGCCGCTGAGAAGCGACGCCTGGCCGTGGGGGCTGCCGAACCTTTCGGCCGCCCTGCAGCGCGAAGTGACGCTGGCCAACAATTTCACTCGCTTCGCATGCCGCTTGTGTCGTGAGGCCATCCTCTGTCGGGTTCCCTGGTCCCTGCAGAATCCGCGCACCTCGCGCCTGTGGCTGTGTAATTCAATCGTTACCCTTACGAAGCGGAAGAATGTCAGTAGCGTGTACGCTGATTTCTGTATGTGGGCTGGACCTTTTAAGAAATCCACCACGTTTGTGTCGTATCTTGTCGATCTCTCCGGCCTCGCCACCCGCAGGTGCCTCGGTGGCCGCAGAATGTGTGCCCGCACTGGCGAGCCTCGCCAACAACTGGTCGGCAAGCGTCAGCGCGGTATGTTTTGGACGAAAGTTGCCGAACCATATCCAGCCCCGCTTTGCAGTTTCATCGCCAGACGGTTCTGGGACATAATTTGTGCGCGGGCCGCTCAGAAATTTGACAGGTTCCTGTCTATTGCTCAAGTCCCGGCGGAGCCAGTTGGCACTCGTGCAAGTATGGCGTTTTCTAGCTTGACGGTGCTGTCTTGGCAGTGCGTGTGGCCCAAGCCCCATTCTTGTGGGGGCGGTATTGTGACTCGTTGCTTGCCTGCCCACTCGCTCCGGTCGGTGGCGCCACTGTATGTAAAAACGCATCGTCGTCTGGCCTCGAAGGGAAGCCCGAGGAATTGCAGTTATACTAACGCGTTTTGCGGAGCATGAGTGGATCGGGCCGCCTTACCCGTTTGGGCTCAAGGCGCCCACCACGCCCGCCCATCTTTCGCCTTGAGCAGTGCGTGTGGCCGAAGCCACACTCTTGTGAGGAAGGTATTGTGACTCGTTGCTTGCCTGCCCACTCGCTCCGGTCGGTGGCGCCACTGTATGTAAAAACACATCGTCGTCTGGCCTCGAACGGAAGCCCGAGCAATTTTTATTATACATTATAACAATGTTACGCCAACGCCAACCTTTTTCATACTTGGCTACTTATTCGCCTTGTAATTCACCAGCTCAGCTACCCCAGACTATCTATTCCTTATCGTGATAGCGCGAAGGCGAAGAACATCACGAGTAGGATGAGGAAGATCATGACGAGGTTGATGTTGTTGAGGTTGTTGTTGATGATGATGCGGATGACGCTGATGATGCTGATGAGGACGATGATGCTGATGATGGTGCTGCTGATGATTAGTATGATGATTATGATGATGCTGATGCTGATGCTGCTGCCGATGATGATGATGCTGCTGCTGATGATGATGCTGATGATGATTCTGTTGTAGATGTTGATATTGTTGATGTGGATGAAGTAGTTG